CAGGACCACACCCCTAAATGCATTGAAGCAACTGCCATGTGATTGGTTGATTAGATAATTGCATTAATGAGAAATTGAACAGGTGTTCCTTTATTTTCTATAAACATAGTGACGATATTTACAGAGCTGGGAAATATCCCGAGGCCCCTCTGCTATGTTACTATAACAACTCTCACGGTTCTGACATTTACATATTTAGATAATTAGCCATGTGGAAGGGACGGTTTAACACTTTACCATTACGATGCCCTGAGCAGTCTTCTGGGTCTTCAGTACAATAATCATTCAATCACAATATTTTACAGTAATAATTTTGTGGCAGTTGTGAATACTGTGTATACTGGTAATTATGTCTCAGTTTTACGACGACCCATTGCATTGTGGAAAGAAAGTGTTTTCCTCAACCATGTGGACCCACTTTGAGGAAGGTCCATTGTTAATTTTGTATGTTTCTAATTAAACTCAGTGGTGTCACAGACTGTAGCACTTGGATCTCACCAGAAAGATATCACCTCTGACCTCTGTGGAGAGTGTGTGGCAGCCAGACCTCAAGTCCACTCAAACGTACCCACCTCTCCTACAGACAGCACTGTGGTGAGCATTCTAGTGCAAGCCGGCACGAGGGCATGTAAGGGACAGGACTGGGTGCAGGAGTGAGACAGAGGATGGAGTCTGAGAGGCTGACTGAGAGGCTGACTGAGTGCGAAAGTAGGAGTGGGTAAGCAAAGAGCGGGACGGAGCCGGGGGCTTGTATTTATCAGCATTTTTGTCTATGGTCTTGGGCACAGTGTAGTCTTAAGTCTATACCAGATAATAAGAACCAGATATTTTCAGGAGCAATGATGGAGGGCAGGGAGGAAGGGGGAGGAAGGAGGTGGTGGGGGGGTGTACAGGGGGGCGGGATCTCGCGGAAAGAACAGAAGGGCAGTAAAACTACCTCAGAGTCCACAGGAAGCAGACAGCGTCATGTCTGGGGGGCAGCTGCAAATTCGCTGCAGTGGAGGTCTTTTGGAACAGAAGCAACACTGACACCGAATAACAGAGTTAACGAACTGATTTAGGGTTGCACATGAGGGAAAAGATCCTTAGTAAGGGTATCGGTAGGTGGGATTTAGTACTAACCAGGGGAGAAAGCCATCTTGCTTTAAGAGATATTAGTGAAAGTACTTCGCTGGCATGTCGTTTTGCAATAAATCATGAATAAGCGTTCGTGCTGAGAATTTTAACGGCGATTATTTTGTTCGTGGTGTTTTGGTGCAAGAAGTTATTGTCTTCTGAGATTAAAAAAAGCAAAATAGAAGGTACACAATGTTAGGCAAAAGTAGTTAGAGCGTTTTAAAATACCGTTAAGAAAGACAGAGAGCTTTTTCACTGGCCAATCAGGAGTCGGGAAGCGCAAACGGCTCGTGGGAAGGGGGACTGGGGATCTCTGCCGCGTGAGTGACAGCCACGCCGCCCTGTCATGGAAGAGTAACTGTTTGGGAAAACCCGCCCAAAGGCAATTAAGGGCAAAAGACGAAACAAATTTAGGAAAACTTTTTTTTTCCAACAAGGAAAAAAGAGGGATGGACAGAGGTGGGGATAGGGGAGTTTTAGAAATCATAGAAAGCTGAATTGTGACGCTCCGATCCGATGTTAGACAACACACTTTTACGCTTTGAATTTGCCAAATTACTAACTTGGGAAAATTTATTACGGATGATTTTTTTTAATCTAATGGGATCTGTTTCTTCTCTCTTATCCACGACCTGCATCTAAAGTATCGGTGTCACTGGTCAACAGACAGACAAGTAAGGCATAGTAATTTAGGAAAAAGTTACGTAAAGTTTCTTGTTGCGTGCGTTGGGTATAAGCCTCTGCATGCCTTCCAAAGGATATGCGCAAATTTGGCATGGATTAAGGAAGGCATTTCGGCATCCAGAATTATTGGACTTTATTATTAGATATCCGTAGGCAATCTGGAGCAAAGTGGTCTAAGGGAGGAGTTGGAGATCGCGCAACAGCAGTGGAAGAAGTTGGAGTTAGAGCTGTCTGCGAGTCCGAGTGCTCCTCTCCATCATTTTCGCTTCCCGGATCTTCTCCGGTTCTCTTTGGGATGGGGGCCGCGCCGGGCTGGGAGGAGGGGGAATTCGAGTTCAAGTTGGTGTTTGAGGAAGACCCGATGCCCCAGGCACGGGGAGAGTCTGAGCACCGATCCGCAGACAGAGAACACTGCCCCGGAGAGAGGACAGACCTGGAACCGACCAACACAGCCGGTCAGTACATTCCATGAGAGTCTTACTTGTGCCTGTTTTATTTTGCGCAAGTGAAGCCCGAGCGTATTTGCAGCGGTCTGCTTCTGCGTGACGTGCCGCTGCTGCGTGCGGTGTTTGTCTTTGCGGCGGATGTTGTGTCCCCCAGCGCTGCGTGCCGCGCGCGGGGATGTGTGGCGCATATGCGCGCGGCGTGGCGCGCTCCCTGCAGTCCGTCTCGTGCGTTCCGGGGATCGCCTCGCGGACCTCAATGTGTTTTTAATCAGCTGTGCGTGTGAGTGCAGCTAACAGCTGCCATCTGGACTGAACTTCCAGCACTGTTTACTGAACACACACATACACACCTACCTCCTCCCCCCTCCCTTTACTTTTCCTTGCCATGTTTCTCTCTTTTAATCTGCCGGTCGCCGCTTTAAATCACAGCTGTCTTCACCACTGTTACACATGTCGCTGTAAACTGTCCTTTGCATTCTGGTAATACTTAACAAAAGAAAAATAACTTTTCAATAGGGGGGGGGGCTCACTTTAAAAGCTGTATTCCAGTTACCCAGCCTGTAATATTTCAGCAGTATCATAACCAAAACTTCACCTTTATTGTCTTCTAGGATCAAGCCTAGCATCTTGCTCTATACCTGGTCCTCCTTCCTGTCCATCCCAGCCTTGATTACCGCCTTGGCTCAGCCGTTTAATACCCTTTACACATCTCAGGCTTATGCTAGCTGAGTTTGAGGCAGGGAGGTCTGGAGGTTGTGCTTCATCGATGCTCTATGTCTCATTAATAATGGCATTTGGGGCCTGTTCCTGCTGTTCATGGTTAAACTGGTGCAAGCCGTCATCCAACACCCTTCACCCAGCTTCGGGACAGAAGCCCTTTTATGGACTTTGCCTTTAGCCCTGGGGTCCTTTAATGTCAGGATGTGCCCCCCCCCCCCCTCAGCTTATAGCAGTGACATCATTAGTACAACGCTGTTAACTTGACGGTCACACGACTTTTTTGCTTTTTTGACTCATTGTGTTTCCGCTTCATCTTCACCGAAGATGCCTGCCTTGCTGCCGCTAACACTGGACAGCCAATCAACATCCCTGCCATTCAGCTGCCTTCCAATCAAAGAGCAGGGATGCACTCCCCACCCCCCAGAAGGGCACTGATGCAGGAGTACAGTGGGACCTATGAAAGCCTACCAGCCCGCTCCATACAAGTAAGAATCCACTAGGGGGCAGTGTGCATGTGTATCTGTTTCCACTTGGTCTTATTTTTTATGGCTCTGCTATCATTCAATTATGGAAAAATATGCAACAACAACAATAATCAAAAAGAAATAAAGGAATTACAGACAAGCAGAGCTAATTTCATTTTTATTTATAGTTTTGTTTTGTGTCGTTGTGAAATCCTGTGATTCTTATTACCAGCTGGCTCTTTTGCTCCAGTTAACAAGCAGCCGGACTGTAAATTTAAAATAAGTGCAGCATTTCGTTTGGTAATGCCAGTGCTCCGCGAAACAATGTTTTCGTCCTGTTTTCAAAAGGTGATGACAGTTGCCACCACTGTATTAAAAAGTGTTGTGAACTTAACAGCGTTTTGGTGAAGCTTCACAAACGTCTCCGGCCGAAAAGAGTACTGCGCGGGGGGGGCGATCTGGTCAGTGAAACTCTGACCTTTAACCTTTGAGGCCGGCTTGCTACCGCAGCACGTCTCACCTTATCTCCCTTGCTGTGTCTCCTTTTGTTTGCTTGCAAACACTGAGCCTCGGCCCCATGTGCAAGACGGATTGTCTCTGAGTACTGTATGCGGTCTTCCCCCGGCCCAGTGACTGTGTAAACAGAGTCCTTTCAGGCTGCTGCAGCCATAAGTTAGCCATGGGAATCTGGCAGCCCGTTTTCGGTCAGGGGTAGCGGGTCCCCGGGCATCGCCTTGTCATCCTGCGGACTGTCAGGCTTCCAGGAAGCTGCAGGGCCCCTGGCAGGGAATGCGGGAGCCAGTGCGTTCGCTCGCTCCTCTCGCTCCTCTCTCTCTCTCTCTCTCTCTCTCTGTCACTTGATTTGGACGAGTTTCTCGCCTCTGTAGGTACTTATTGCTCTTTTTAAGCGTATATGAATTTGCCGTTCCAGCTGTCACCCCTGTTTTAATGCACTGTTTCGGTTTATTGGGGGGAAAAAAGGTCAGATGCTCCCTTGTTTGTTTACCCGGGGGGGGGGGGGGGGG